ACTTGAAGATGGCCTTGGCTCCCAACTGTATTGTTATGTTCAAATGAGGGTTTTAGATGGAAAAAAGATAAGAGGAAAAACAAACGATAACATTCATTTCGGGTCAAGCAAATAGGAACGGGGTTTTTATACAACCCCACTTAATCAGGCTGCGCTTTGCATGAAAAAACTAGCATAAAAGCAATTGTTTTAGTAATGGTAATAACAGTAGTAGTAGTAGTAGTAATAATAATATTGGTACTTGTAGTAATTGTAATAATCGTCTTTTACTTCACCTGGCTCGGATTCATCAGAAGGCGTAGGATGAGCACATGAAGGATGCAAGAACACAGCCAACGTGAAAGTTTTTGTTACCTCAAGGCAACCACTTGTTACACGGGAACGTAGAGCTTCAATGCAGGGCCATGTGTTAAGCTTGGACTGTTTCCAAGGACTTTGAACGGTTGCTCGAGGACTCCGTGGACGTAGAGGTCGATGCTGACAGGCCTGCGAGAACACTTTAGGATGTTCAGATGATGTACATTGGTGGTTGGCCAAATCAGCATGCAGCAAGCACCTGCTGGAAGCAGACTGCTTGGATCAAAATCCTTTGCTGAAAGAAGTCTGCCACCCAGGCCCAGCGATGCCGTGCCTCAAACTCCCGTCTCTCCTTCGCCAGCGTCAGGCCTGTGCAGTTCCATACAGTAGGCCATTTGATAAGCCGAGGAGAGTCACAAATGGCTTCAGATGATGTATACCTCAGCATGCGACGTTTCAGAAATACTTTTGGTAGATGTGGTAGTTTCCCTAAATAGGGTGACGCCAATTTACTGCAGCTTCCAGACCCCCTAAAAGGGTAGCACTAATTTTGGGAAACCCTACAAACCCTAAACCGTATCTAATCCCTATATAACCCGATATATCCCCCTATAATCCCTTGAAAGGGAACCGCTAACTTTGGTAAAACGGCTGGTCAGGGGAGAGACCAGCTGGAAGCGCAGAGGCAACGCCCATTGCCAAGGTCTCGGGAGCCGCTCAGCACGCAAATACCGGAAGCAAACCAAGGAATAGATAATGCACGATGGAACTGTATAATGTATCATAGTATATTATAATATATTATAGCATATGATAGTGTACTATAATATATTATAGTATACTATAATATATTACGATATAATAATATCTTATAATATATTAAAAATACTATAAAATACCACCAATATACTATAATCTACTATAATACTATAACATACCATGCGAAGCTGAAGCACTGCAGTGGCCAGATTTGAGGGCCAAGTACCTGTACTACTGTTGATACTCAAGATCCTGCATGACCTTATGATACTATAGTACCATAATTCCCAAGGTTTCGGGTTTAGGGTTTAGGTTCTAGGGTTTAGGGTTTACTTAGGGTCATGCAGGATTTTTAGTATCCACCCTAGTTGCAGATGCCTGAAGGCTCCATCACCTGTGCTCGCGCAGCGACCCCCTGTTACGGTTGAAGGAGGCCCAGGCCTCGTCCAAGTTTGAAGTACATTTTGGGGTTTAAGGTTGAGGGTTTAGGGTTTAAGGTTTAGGGTTTAGGGCATTTTGGGTACCCCCCCCCCCTCCCCCCCGTAACAGTTTATATTGGGGGTCCTATTAAGGGC